AGTGAGTGAGTGAGCTGGTGAGTGGGTGAGTGAGTGAGTGGGTGAGTGAGTTAATGGGTGGCTGGGTGAGTGAATGAGTGGTGAGTGGGTGAGTGGGTGAGCTGGTGAGTGGGTGAGTGAGCTGGTGAGTAGGTGAGTGAGTGAGCTGGTGAGTGGGTGAGTGAGTGAGTGAGTGGGTGAGTGAGTGAGTGAGCTTGTGAGTGGTGAGTGAGTGAGCTGGTGAGTGAGTGAGCTGGTGAGTGGGTGAGTGAGTGGGTGAGTGAGTGTGCTGGTGAGTGGTGAGTGGGTCAGTGAGTGAGTGAGCTGGTGAGTGGGTGAGTGAGTGGGTGAGTGAGTGAGCTGGTGAGTGGGTGAGTGAGTGGGTGAGTGAGTGGGTGAGTGAGTGAGTGGGTGAGTGAGTGGGTGGTGAGTGGGTGAGTGGGTGAGTGAGTGAGTGGGTGAGTGAGTGGGCGAGTGAGTGCGTGGTGAGTGGGTGAGTGAGTGGGTGAGTGAGTGAGTGAGCTGGTGAGTGGGTGAGTGAGTGAGTGAGTGGGTGAGTGAGTTAATGGGTGGCTGGGTGAGTGGGTGAATGAATGAGTGGTGAGTGGGTGAGTGAGTGAGTGGGTGAGTGAATGAGTGGTGAGTGGGTGAGTGAGTGAGTGGGTGAGCTGGTGAGTGGGTGAGTGAGCTGGTGAATGGGTGAGCGAGTGAGCTGGTGAGTGGGTGAGTGAGTGAGTGGGTGAGTGAGTGAGTGAGCTTGTGAGTGGTGAGTGGGTGAGTGAGTGGGTGAGTGAGTGAGCTGGTGAGTGGGTGAGTGAGTGGGTGAGTGAGTGTGCTGGTGAGTGGGTGAGTGTGTGAGTGAGCTGGTGAGTGGGTGAGTGGGTGAGTGAGTGAGTGGGTGAGTGGGTGAGTGGGTGAGTGAGTGAGTGGGTGAGTGAGTGACTGAGTGGGTGAGTGAGTGGGTGGTGAGTGGGTGAGTGAGTGAATGAGTGAGTGGGTGGTGAGTGGGCCCTAGGGACAGTGCATACTGTGGCCTATTGGATAATACGGCCCTGTGTGAGCCAGCAGTTGCGCGGCGCTTTGACCTCTACCGCACTAAGATTGACGTACATGATGTGGGTTCATTCATTTAGTTTAGGGCCGCAAGGTGGTGCAGTGGTAAAGTGCGTGCCTCAGCAAGAAGAGCTTGGGTTGGATTGCAGAATGCGGCACATTTCTGAGTTTTAATGAATTCCCCTTGTTCTGCAGAGCGAGTGGAGTTTGTATGTTTTCCCCCCGGTTCTGTAGAGTGAGAGTGAGTGAATGGAGTTTGTGTGATCTCCCCCTGTCCAGCAGAGTGAGAGTGAGTGAGTGGAGTTTGTATGATCTCACCCTGTCCAGCAGAGTGAGTGGAGTTTGTATGATCTCCCCCTGTTCTGCAGAGTGAGTGGAGTTTGTATGATCCCCCCCTGTTCTGCAGAGTGAGAGTGAGAGGAGTTTGTATGATCTCCCCCTGTTCTGCAGAGTGAGAGTGAGTGGAGTTTGTATGATCTTCCCCTGTTCTGCAGAGTGAGAGTAAGTGGAGTTTGTATGATTTCCCCCTGTTCTGCAGGGTGAGAGTGAGTGAGTGGAGTTTGTATGATCTCCCCCTGTTCTGCAGAGTGAGTGAGTGGAGTTTGTATGATCTCCCCCTGTTCTGCAGAGTGAGAGTGAATCGAGTTTATATGATCTCCCCGTGTTCTGCAGAGTAAGAATGAGCGAGTGGAGTTTGTATGTTCTACCGCTGTTCTGTAGAGTGAGTGTGTGGAGGGTGTATGTACTTGCCCTGTTCTGCAGTGTGAGAGTGAGTATGAGTGAGTGGAGTTTGTATGTACTCCTGCATGGGTTTCATTTTCGCTCTCCTATACCCCCCCCCCCCCCCATAGCTTAACATTTATAAATGAAATAAAAACCCGACAATGTAACTGGATATTGATCCAAACAAAAATTCCCATGCTGAAACATCGCACTGCGAATTACTCAATTGATTGTTTTACACACGGCAACAACATCGTGATAACCTTGGCAGGAATATCCTTAAAAGGATTCTCGAGCCTGCTCCTAGGCTAAACAAGCAAACGTTACGCGCGCTAAGGACAGGGTGGACGGCCGCAGATAATTCTAAATCGCGGATTACCAAACAACGTCACTATTTTCCTCTGAATACAAACGATCAACCGATCGACGATTCGCGTGCTCAGCGATAACACTTTCCTGCTCACACCCAGAAGACTCGGCCCACTGAGCGGATGATAGCGGAGCCACGCCAATCAACATCGATTAAACTCCGCCCCCCCCCCCCGACTCCTCCCGTTGTAAAGAGATGGCAACTACTGTACTGTAGAGGCGTTGGATTTCCGATAAGACGGAGCAACATATCTGTTCGGTTTGAGCACGTGACTTGTAATAAACATTTCCAAGAATAACGATGCATAACTGTTCTTTTAAGATGATGAATTTGGGCCTAAATGGCAAAATCCACGAGTTATTCATTCATGTCAAAATCTCAGGTGCGTGGTTAATCCGTAAAATCTGGTAAACTGCACGCGGATAATTGAGAGTCTCCCGTGCAGGCAATCCTCGATTTTACGCGGTCTTGTCGTACCCCATTTTGGAATGCCGCGCGCTTTGTATTTAGACCTTTTATTGACATACGCAAGGCCAGAAAACACTCCGGCAATGTCACTAAATCGGAATCAGAATATGTATTCATACTGGAGGAATCCGATGAGGTACAAAGCTCTTTTTTCGCAGGTGTCCAGTCAGGGCTGGATTCAGGCGTGGGGGCTTTAGGGGCTGTGGCCCACCAGCTGGAAGGCCTCCAAGAAATTTAAGTTACAAGTTATTTCATTTGTGAATGCTGAAATTGTATTTGTTGTTAGCCTTGTAAAAAAAAAATTCTTTAACTTTGTTTTCCTTTTTGAAAATATTACTGTGGACCTCGCAGTACGTGTAGCCCAGGGGCTTACAAAATCTTAATCCGGCTCTGTGTCCGTTATGCGCAGCTCTGAACGTTACAACTACGAACAATACAGAAACAGCAGCGCGAAGTATAGGAAATCTAAACAAATCGCTTAAAAATATATAAATGCAACTGACCAATTTTCTTTTTTGGCTGAACACGTAGGCTTTCGCGACCAATATCATCCGTAATAAGAGGTTTTTTAAATTTTATTTTAATACACACAATGGACAGGAAGGACAAGATCAAAGGGCCCGCATAATGCGCATCCATAACGTGCGTTGAGCGAGAGCACAAACGTGTGGTCACCACATCTACGCCTCTATATAAGGAATGAAACAGAAAGACTTCTCTACAAATCTGGCTGTCGCCTGATGGAGCTAGTTGTGATTACTGGCGAAACGTCGTACTCAGATTGTAAATGTTGCGGTTTGGCTCTCCAACACACCGGTGTGCTGTACTATTATACTACACTACACACTACACTATACACTACACTATACACTACTATACACTACACTATACACTACACAACTATACACTCCACTACTATACACTACAGTACTATACACTACACTACTATACACTACACTACCATACACTACTATACACTTCACTATACACTACACAACTATACACTCCACTACTATACACTATACATGACACTATATACTACACTATACACTACACTACTATACACTACACCACTATACACTACACTATACACTACACTATACACTACTATACACTACACTATACACTACTATACACTACATTATACACTACACCACTATACACTACGCTGCTATACACTACACTATACACTACCCTGCTATACACTACATTATACACTACACTACTATACACTACACTATACACTACACACTACACTATACACTACACTACTATACACTACACTATAAACTACACTATACACTACACACTACACTACATTATACACTACACTACTATACACAACACTATACACTACACTATACACTATTGCTGTACTAGTGACGAATTGGCCACGTTCTGTTTACGTGACAACCCTTACTAGTTGGCTGTGTCGGGTTGGTGGCGGGTTTAATGTCGCAACATTTATACATTTACGCGATCTAACCACGAAAAAAAAAACCTCTACTCTTTGGTTCTATTGGGTAAAGTCACGTAGGTGAAAATAAAATAACAAAAAATCACGACGTTTCGGCCACAACACAAGCGGCCTTCATCAGGTGAAGGGACAAGACTGTCTGGAGGACAGCGCTGGAGTGAAAAAGCCACGCTTAGATCGCGACCTTTAAGCTGTGTGAGAAGAAACAAAGCGCCTTGACAAAGGAATTAGCATATAATTTAGCATTGAAATGGCTCATTGAAATAGCTAAGTTAAAGTATACACATCCGCAGAGGCACCCCTTGACAAAGGAATTAGCATCGAATTTAGCATTGAAATAGCTGAGTGATTAGCTTGTAGCTGGTCACAGAAATAGCTATGTTAAAGTCAGAGCATATACATTGACCGAGGCACCTAGTACTAATCAAACAGGAGAATTTAGCGAAACACAACCACCAAGCGAAACACAACCACGCTCTATTATGTACTTAAAAACTAAATGCTGTGTATCTTACCGTGAAAGGCCCCGCTGAGCTAAAAGAGATTCTCCTTCAGAAGCGTCATCCGCGACCCAGTGACGCTGCCGTCCCTCTGCCTCTTCTTCCTCCTCCTCTCATCGTCCTCATCCATCCTGTCCCCACGACGAAACTCCGGCGGAGTTACGGGTAAGACAAGTGAAGCGATGCTGTATTTTTTCGCGTTTTCATTTTTGTTTTCGTATTACGAGTTTACGTGATTTTCTTTTTTTCATTTAAAGTATTTATATATATAATTTTATATATATAAAAAAAACTATGTATATGGGCAAGGATAACATAGGCGATTATGTCTGCGAGATTGAAGTGAAATCCCCTAACCCCCCTCCTGCGCCATTATTTCCTATGAGGCCATCGCTTTCGATATACGCGATTTTGAGACAGGCGCGCGCTATTCCGGCAACTCCGTTCGCTACGTTCGCGAATTGCCTAATCTCCGAGCGGTTATTAACAGCCGTGACCGCTACGCGGTGTCTTCCTCGAAAGAAGTTTAAAAAAATAAAAAAAATTCTCCCCCGCCGATGTTATTTCTTACGTAAGCCGCCGAGAGCGCGTTTACACAAAGACACCACCAACCAGCACCACCAGCAGCACACAGAAACAGACAGACAGAGAGCCCAGAGGGCCCGGTGTTACCCACCGCTTGTGTAGCTCGAAGCTTAACTTTGTTGTCACGCGGCGAAGATGTCCTTCTGTACGTTCGACGGCGGGGAGAAGTACAAAGATCACTTTAAAGTTGGTGAGTCATTGTCACCATCAACAACAACAACAACCACCATCACCACCGCGCGCGATGCTTTTAAACGGCGAATGGCGACTTTATTACAAAACGCCGCACTTGGCGAACACACGCGCGCGCGCGCAGATACCTTATTTCTCGACGGGTTCATCGTTTCGTTTTAATTCTTGAGGAGGCGTGAGTTTAATAGCGGCGCTTTGTTTCGAGCGTGACCGCTCGCGATCCGCGCCGTGCTGCGGAACGTTTAACAAACCGAACGCTCTTTAATCGCTGCGGGCTTTAGGCCTCGTGGCCTGTGGATTTACCCCGAAAGGCTTCCCGCAGGCGAGTCCAGGCGAGCGGCGTCGCAACGGCCCGACAAAGCACCGTAATAATTTAACAACAACAACAACAAAAACAACCCAAAACAAAACCCCGGTGTGTTATAATTATAATAATCGATGCGCGATATAAGATCGAGTTACGTTTATTGTTAAGTGGCGTTAGTCGCGCCGCTCTTTGCGTTGATGGGCTTCAACGTAGAGGCCTACGGCTGAGGCTTTATTGCAATAACTCGAAAGTCAACAACATCAAACAAACAAACAGCTTTAAAAAGGTCACAAACGAACATTTATGTGTTTTAAGTTGTAACTAAAGCACTGGTACAACAGTGGTGCTAAATTTCGATTTAAAGCTTTCGTGACTGCAGGGATTAATATGCTTGGTTCTTTCGGTAAAGTCACCACGTAGAAGGGAAATTGTTTTATATTTGTATTATTTTGTTTCCCTTCTACATGGTGACTTTACCGAAATAACCAATAATATAACAGTGTAAAGTCATGTAGAAGGGAAATTGTTTTATATTTTTATTATTTTATTGTTTCCCTTTTACGTGGTGACTTTACCGAAAGAACCAAGAATATAACAGTGGTGTAAAGTCACGTAGAAGGGGAATTGTTTTATATTTTTATTATTTTATTGTTTCCCTTCTACGTGGTGACTTTACAGAAAGAACCAAGAATATAACAGTGGTGTAAAGTCACGTAGAAGGGAAATTGTTTTATATTTTTATTATTTTATTGTTTCCCTTCTACGTGGTGACTTTACCGAAAGAACCAAGAATATAACAGTGGTGTAAAGTCACGTAGAAGGGAAATTGTTTTATATTTTTATTATTTTATTGTTTCCCTTCTACGTGGTGACTTTACCGAAAGAACCAAGAATATAACAGTGGTGCTGTCTGTCTCTGTGTGAGTGATCGTACGAATGATCTGAAACCGTGTCCTGGGCCTCCCCTAGGTCGACTCAGCCGCAAGTGAGTACCTGGTGTAGCGGTGTGTAGTAGTTAAACATCGCTAAGCACTGGGGGAGACAAAGGCGGCCGGGCGTGGTGCTGGCCACCCACCACCCTCGTGTGCCGTGCACGGCCTTCATAGGTGCTGCTTGCTAACAGCACTTGCCCCCAGCAGTCTGTTGAGGCTACACGGGGGACCTTTGTCTTTGTAAGTGATGTAGAACTTGACGCAAAGCATCTGTAAATAAATTAGTTTCACGGCATACTGTATAGTAGTGTAGTAGTGTATCGTTGTAGTATTGTAGTGTATAGTGTGGTAGTGTAGTTTTTTTGTGGTAGTGTAAAGTAGTGCTGTATATATTAGTGTATAGTGTAGTAGGGTAGTGTATAGTGTATTTTGTAGCAGTGTCTAGTAGTGTAATATATATTAGTGTATAGTGTAGTAGGGTAGTGTATAGTGTATAGTTTATTTTGTAGTAGTGTAGTGTATAGTGTAGTGTATAGTGTAGTGTAAACTTTAGTAGGGTAGTGTGTAGTGTATTTTGTAGCAGTGTATAGTGTAGTATATATTAGTGTATAGTGTAGTATATATATTAGTGTATAGTGTAGTGTATAGTGTAGTAGGGTAGTGTATAGTGTAGTAGGGTAGTGTATAGTTTATTTTGTAGTAGTGTATAGTAGTGTAGTATATACTGCATTAGTGTATAGTAGTGTAGTATATATTAGTGTAGTAGGGTAATGTATAGTGTAGTGTAGTAGGGTAGTGTAGTGTAATAGGGTAGTGTATAGTGTAGTATATAGTTTGTATGCATGTGGAATTTCTTTCGTACCGTACGTAGCCAACCGTGCTAATCGGAGGTGCTGGGGGTGGGAACTAAACACAACAACAACAACCAGCAGTGCTAAATAAATTAGTTTTCATTCTAGATTATTTAAAAGGGCATAGCTCCAGTGACTTGCTAATACCGGTGTAGTGAATAGTAGTGTAGTATATATAGTAGTGTCTAGTATAGTAGTGTAGTAGTGTAATGTATAGTGGAGTGTATAGTGTATTGTGTAGGAGTGTAGTGTCTAGTGTATAGTAGTTTGTATGTTTAATTTCTTTCGCACCGTACGTAGCCAACCGTGCTAATTGGAGGTGCGGGGGGGGTGAAGGACAACAAACTAAACACAACAACAACACGCAGTTCTAAAGAAATTAGTTTTCAAAATTTCGATGCTTTAAAAGTGCATAGCTCCAGTGGCTTCCGAATATTGGAAGAGCGTTCCAGACGGCCGCAGAATTGCATCAATCAATTTAAGGTTTGAAACCTTCAAAGGAGTTTGCTTGTTCAAGCTAATCATATTTTTCCCGTGCAATACGATTTGCTCACATTGCCTGTGCAATGTAATCTGCCTGGCGCAACATGCTTTAGTACCTCCGATTAACACGGTTGGCTACGTACGGTGCGAACAAAGTCCAAACTAAAGTAAAACCTTGGATTGCGAGTAACTTGGTCTGCGAGTGTTTTGCTAGACGAGCAAACATTTGTAACTAAATATTAATTTGATAAACGAGCGAGGTCTTCTTGCGATACGAGTAGTAGTAGTAACGTGTGCACGCTTTGCACTGCCGAGCGTCACGTGATCACAACTGATGTACGAGCGCTTTGATATGCGAGTGCTTTGGATTACAAAACACGTTTCCGGAACGAATTACGCTCGCAATCCAAGGTCTTGCTGTACATCTGAAAGCTTTTGCGATGCGGTGACCGAATTTTTTTTCCCGATGGCTCGCCAAAAGCCGCCGCCGCCGCTGCTCCGAAGATGACCGGAAGTTCCCGTGATGATGTTTGCGTGATGATGTTCCCGTGATGATGCGTTTACACTCCTTGAATCTTAAAATCTCCTGCGTGTCCCCCTTTTTTGCGGCCCACCTGCCCTCCCCGTCTCCTGTGTGTGTGTGTGTGTACGACGCAGGCGTCTACGTGTGCTCCCAGTGTGGCTACGAGCTGTTCTCCAGCAAGGCCAAATACGAGCACTCGTCACCCTGGCCGGCATTCACCGAGACCATGCACCCGGACAGCCTGAGCAAATGCGAGGAGCGGCCTCGGGCACTCAAGGTGGCCTTGCCGCGCTCTTTGGATGGCGCGCACACACGCGCACACAGCGATAACCGCACGTAATAGAGACGCGCACAGAGGTCCCCCGTATAGCCTGTTGTAACAGGCTGTTGGGGCATGCGCTGTGAGCGATCGGCGGCACTCTATGAAGGCCGGCAGGGCGCACGAAGTGGGTGGGTGGCCACCAACGCCCGGCCGTCTTGGCACCAGGTACTCATTCGAGGCTGAGTCGATCTACGGGAGGCCCGGGACTGGTTCAGCTAATCGCCACTGGCGTTGGCCGTGAGTGGGAATCGGAACCGGGTCGTCGGATTCCTTGGCGCAACCCCGATCACCGCTACGCTACCGACGCTGCCACTCTTGAAAGGACACCACCAACGACGGCAACAGCCGCTAAGTGGTCCAACACCAATGGAGACTAGGCTCTAAGAAAAGCTGTCTCGGGTGTGGACCAATCAAATTCAAGGACAGTGCCAATATTATTATCAGAGTTGTCTCTTTTGTTTGCATTTTGACTGCTTGTGTTGTGGTTATTGCAAACATGATGCCTTGAATAAAGGTGTCAGTTTTTGTGCCAGTTAAAAGGCTAGGTTCACCTCGAGGCTGTCACGTGAAGTGTGGAAGTGTGGAAGGCTCTCTCTCGCTGCTGACAGGAGGAGGTCACAGGACATACACAGGTGCCATGGGTTGACTGACTGAGATGACTGGTATATGTACACCCCGTGCTTCCGACTGTGCCAACCTGCTGAGTTTTAGCCGCCCGGCGCTCCGCTCGTTCCTGTGAGCGTCGCTCCTCCGCCCTCCGTTGTTGCAGGAGGGCGACTCCCTCCAACTGCCCAGTAGCGTCCTTCACGAGCCTCCTCCATAGAGGCCGACCTTGACACCGCTGGTGCCATTCTTCGGCAAGTCCACTCAGCTCCACGTCTCTTCTCCAGCCTGTGTTGTGCCAATTTAGCCCCCTCCATCCGGCCAAACAGAAGCTGTTTGGGCGGTTGGGCATGCAAGCTACATGGCCCCTTGCCAGCGCAGCGTTGCCCGCCGCGAGGTGCTCACTGACGGGAATGCGTCCAGATTTGAAAATGCATACTCGCACACGCAGGCATACTATCACAGACAGCACACACGTGCAATGAACCCCCATGGAGCAAAGATAGACTCTTGATGGGCTCTTGCTGCAAGTGCTCGTAACGAGGGCCTACGAAAGCCGACACTGCACACCTTGGGGACGGTGTGATGTGCACCGTGCCTTGCCACCTTTGTCTCCCCAGTGCCGGGGCGCCACGGCGGCGAGATGTTGACTACCTCGCCTGGTATGCAGGAGGTCGTGGGTTCGATCACGACCCTGACGCCTGCTGCTGTATATTTCGAATTGATGGTGCAGTGTTGAGTATACATACAGTATTGAGTCTATGGTGCAGTGTTGAGTCTATGGTGCAGTGTTGAGTCTATGGTGCGGTGTTGAGTCTATGGTGCAGAGTTGAGTCTATGGTGCAGTGTTGAGTCTATGGGCAGTGTTGAGTCTATGGTGCAGTGTTGAGTCTATGGTGCGGTGTTGAGTCTATGGTGCAGTGTTGAGTCTATGGTGCGGTGTTGAGTCTATGGTGCGGTGTTGAGTCTATGGGCAGTGTTGAGTCTATGGTGCAGTGTTGAGTCTATGGTGCAGTGTTGAGTCTATGGTGTGGTGTTGAGTCTATGGTGCAGAGTTGAGTCTATGGTGCAGTGTTGAGTCTATGGTGCAGTGTTGAGTCTATGGTGCAGTGTTGAGTCTATGGTGCAGTGTTGAGTCTATGGTGCGGTGTTGAGTCTATGGTGCAGAGTTGAGTCTATGGTGCAGTGTTGAGTCTATGGTGCAGTGTTGAGTCTATGGTGCAGTGTTGAGTCTATGGGCAGTGTTGAGTCTGTGGGGCAGTGTTGAGTCTATGGGCAGTGCTGAGTCTATGGGCAGTGTTGAGTCTATGGGCAGTGTTGAGTCTATGGTGCAGTGTTGAGTCTATGGTGCGGTGTTGAGTCTATGGTGCGGTGTTGAGTCTATGGTGCAGAGTTGAGTCTATGGTGCAGTGTTGAGTCTATGGGCAGTGCTGAGTCTATGGGCAGTGCTGAGTCTATGGGCAGTGCTGAGTCTATGGGCAGTGCTGAGTCTATGGGCAGTGCTGAGTCTATGGGCAGTGTTGAGTCTATGGGCAGTGCTGAGTCTATGGGCAGTGCTGAGTCTATGGGCAGTGCTGAGTCTATGGGCCTGTATATTTGGAGTTTGCATGTACTCCCCGTGATCGCGTGAATTATTCTCCGGGGCCTACGATTCCCCCCCCCCCCCCGCACATTTAGTGTCAATGTTACGCGTTTTCAGTATATGGCTGCCAAAAATGTCCACGTGATGATATGATGATGATGACGAGCCACTTCGTTGAGCGATCCCTTTGCGATATCCAGGCGGTCGCTTCTGAAAACGAGCTCCGTAGCTCAGTGGGGCCCAACCACCCCCCCCCCTCCCCCCCCCCCCGGGTAAAATATCGACGGCAGAGCACATTGCGCCCGGTGCTCGTTTCAAAAGTCCGAGCCGACCGAGACGTCTTAACACGCGCTCCTGCCCGAATGTCGTCTTAGCTGCAGGGTGCAGGCACTGCACCGCGCTCCACCGCCTCCCTACCGGCCTGTGCCGCTGGCACCCAACCCAGCCGGCCGCCCCCTCGCCACGACTCGTAAACGCCGTGCCCTTTAACAGCGTCTGTGAGACTCCCGCCGCCCCCCCCCCCACCATCGTAAAACCACCCCGAGGACACAAAGGCCCCCTTCAGACGGCGCTCGCGGGGTTCGCTTTCGCCGCCGCCACGTTTATTTATCGCGGCCGGAAGGAAGGGCCGCGGGTCAAGAAGTTTGGGGGGGCGTGCTGGGGGGTGGTGGTGGGGGATGTGTCGGCTATTGTGCCGTCTCTCTTAACGCCTCCCCGCCCCGGTGCCCGGAACTGCGCCAAAAGGGTTTCCCGTTGCGGTTTAGCGACAGGCGGAAAATTGATTTTCGCGCCTGCGCCTGGCTGTTGCCGTGATGCAGACGTCGTTTTTGGGTTGGATCGCGTTTATTTAGAAATGTGTCGTAACCCTTCCACCACCCGACACGGCCAATCGGCAAAACAAAAAAAAAGTGTCACGTTGACAAAAGACAAATGATTCGCCACTTTAGCCCACCGCCGCGAAAGCCTACATGTTAAACTGAGTTTAGGCCCCCCGTTGATCTGTGTCGCTCTTTTTCAGCAGCGACCAACCCCCCCACCCCCCCCCCCCCCCGGCTGGCCGGCCGGCCGGCCAGCCATCGCAAATGTTAGCCGGACGAGGTGGCTGCTGACCGTCGTGGATATCCGTTGCGGCCGGATACTCCGAGCGCACGTCGATTCTGAAACGCGGAGGGAGGGGAACAACCGGAGGACCGCGGATTAAAAAAATCCACGCGGCCACAAGGAGGAGGGAGAACACGCGAACTCCGAATATACAGTACTAGCTGTACTAGCCGGCTTTGCCATGCCCGGCCGCCTTTGTCTCCCCAGTGGCGATGTTCACACACAACACACCAGTTACTCGTTTGAGGCTGAGTCGACCTAGGGGAGGCCCAGGAGCGGTTGAAATAATCGTCACCGGTGGTGGCCGTGAGCGGGAATCGAACTCGGGTCGCCGGGTTCGTAGCGCGGCGTAGCGCTAACCGCTACACCACAATGCGTTACGCTTCCACACAAACATAGACACACAGACACACACACACACAGACACACACACACAGACACACACACAGACAACGCTAACTGCTACACTACAATGCGTTACGCTTCCACACACACACAGACACACACACACAGACACACACATAGACACACAGACAGACACACACACAGACACACACACAGACACACACAGACACACACAGACAGCGCGCTAACCGTTACACTACAATGCGTTACGCTTCCACACACACACAGACACACACATAGACACACAGACAGACACACAGACATACACACACATACACACACAGACACACACAGACAGCGCGCTAACCGTTACACTACAATGCGTTACGCTTCCACACACAGACACACACAGAGACACACACACATACACACAGATACACACACACAGACAACGCTAACCGCTACACTACAATGCGTTACGTTTCCACACACGCACACACACACACACAGACACACACACAGACACACACACAGACACACACAGACAGCGCGCTAACCACTACACTCAATGCGTTACGCTTCCACGTGCGCGGGTCACGTGACAGATTTGACGTCACAGCTCACTTGCCGTGCAAAAAATAAATGCATTATTGAGCTCCCACCCCCCCCCCCGAAAAAAAAAGTGTATTTTTATAATTTTTGCATGGTGTACAGTCTGGAAAGTACCCACGTGGCAAATTTCCCGTGTGTTGCATGTCGGGAAGTACGCTAAACATTTTGAACAGACACAACACGAATTCACAACTTTCCCTTTTATATATATGGAGATGAAAAATACGAATAGGTTTTACGCTTTCTGGCAATGAAACAGGAGTCGTGTTAAGACGTTCAAACGCCAAATGGCGTGAACCTTCTTGCAAGGAATCAAGTCGCTGTGCGTCGACCGCTCACGGCGCTCGTGGTGAACATGCAAACACAAACGCGTGGCTCTGATGATCCTGTCTGGCGTTGCCTTTGTAACTGATTGGCCTACAGCAGAAGCAGCAGCGTTCTTCATGGCCTAGTCTCTCACGACCAGTGTCAGGCCAGAGAACAGCGCCAATAGACCAGCAGTCGCAACGCAATCTGTGATTTGAAGCTTTCGTGACTGCAGGAAATCCGTGCTCTTTGGTTCAATTCGGTAAAGTCACCACGTAGAATGGAAACAATAAAGTAATAAAAATATAAAACAATTTCCCTTCCACGTGACTTTACACCGCTGTTATATATTCTTTGGTTCTTTCGGTAAAGTCACGTAGAAGGGAAACAATACAATAATAAAAATAAAAAAAACAATTTCCCTTCTATGTGACTTTACACCACTGTCACCTTCTTTGGTTCTTTCAGTAAAGTCACGTAGAAGGAAAACAATAAAATAATAAAAATATGAAACAATTTCCCTTCTACGTGACTTTACATCACTGTTATATTCTTGGTTCTTTCGGTAAAGTCACGTAGAAGGGAAACAATAAAATAAAAAAATATATTAAACAATAAAATTCTCACGACGTTTCGACTGCAACACAAGCAATCATCACTATTGTTTTATATTTTTTATTATTTTATTGTTTCCCCTTCTACGTGGTGACTTTACCGAAAGAACCAAGAATATGAATCCCTGTAGTCACGAAAGCTTTAAATAAAAATAAAATCATAAAAAATAATAGTCACAGTGATGTATTATTTTGAGTTTTATTTTCATGTTTTTATACCTCCGCGATTTTACCCAAAGAACCAAAGAGTATAGTACAAGCACAAACCACCTTACAGTAAAACCTTGGATTGCGAGCATAATTCGTTCCGGAAACGTGTTTTTAAACCAAAGCACTCGTATATCAAGGCACTAGTATATCATCATTAGACCTCCTTTGCCAGTACCAAAATATAATAATAGGTTTTTCGGCAACAAAACTGAAACCTTTTTACAAGGATTAATGTCTGCATTAACCACAATACCTGCAATCAAAATGCAAACAAAAAACATACTTTGATAATATGATGCATTGTCCTTGAAACTGATTGGTCCACACCAAGGGACGGCTTTCTATTGAGCCTCGACCCAATTGGTGCTCGACCAGATGACGCCTTTTGGCGTCAGTTGTGATCACGTCATGCTCGGCAGTACAAAGCGTGTACACGTACACTACTCGTATTGCAAGAAGACCTCGCTCGTTTATCAAATTAATATTTATTTAAAATGTTTGCTCGTCTTGCTAAACACTCGCAGACCAAGTTACTCGCAATCCAAGGTTTTACTTTAGTTTGGACTTCGTTCGCACCGTACATAGCCAACCGTGTTAATCGGAGGTACTAAAGCATGTTGCGCCAGGCAGATTACATTGCACAAGCAATGTGAGCAAATCATATTGCACGAGAAATATGATTTGCTTGAACAAGCAAACTCTTTTGAAGGTTTCAAACCTTAAATTGATAGATGCAATTCTGCGGCCGTCTGGAACGCTCTTCCAATATTCGGAAGCCACTGGAGCTATGAACTTTTAAATAATCGAGATTTTTTAAAACTAATTTATTTAGCACTGCGTGTTGTTGTTGTTTACTGTATGATAGTTGGGTAGTTGCAGTCCTTTAGCGTCCATATACTAAATGCCTCTGTTGATATGTAAACTTTAACATAGCTATTTCCGTGACCAGTCACATGCTAATCCCTCGGCTATTTCAATGCTAAATTCTCCTGTTTGATATGTAAAACCCTTTGTCAAGGCGCCTCACTTCTCTCAACCAGCTTAAAAGACGCTGCGAATCTTAGCGGCGTTCATTGAAGCTCTCTCGTCCCGACGGTTCTGTTCCTTCACCTGAAGAAGGCTACTTGTGTTGTGGCCGAAACGTTGTGAGAATTTTATTTTATTATGTTTTATTTGTATTACTTTGTTTCCATTCTACGTGACTTTACCGAAAGAACCAAGATGTTGTTGTTGTGTTTAGTTTGTTGTCCTTCCCCCCCCTGCACCTCCAATTAGCCCGTGGTGACCAGCCGTCTCATGTGATACCTTCTTGCCAAATGTACAGCAGGCCGTCAGGGTCTGGATCGAACCCACGGCCTCCTATATACCATAGCTGAGCTCTGGTATCGATTTAAAGCTTTCGTGACTGCAAGGATTCATCTTCTTTGGTTCTTTCGGTAAAGTCACGTAGAATGAGAATAAAATAATAAAATAAGACAATAAAATTCTCACGACGTTTCGGCCACAACACAAGTAGCCTTCATCAGGTGAAGGAACAGGACTGTCGGGACGACAGTGGAGCACTGTCGTCCTGACAGTTCTATTCTTGAGAATTTTATTGTCTAATTTTTTATTTTATTATTTTATTCTCATTCTACGTGACTTTACCGAAAGAACCAAAGAAGATGAGCTCTGGTATACAGGACAAGCAAACTCCTTTGAAGGTTTCAATTTTAAATTAATAATTGCGCTTCTGCGGCCGTCTGGAACCGTCTGGAACGCTCTTCCGATAATAGGAAGCACTGGAGCTATGCAATTTAAAATCATCTAGATTTGAAAAGTAATTTCTTTAGAATTGCTTGTTGTTGTGTTTACTTTGTTGGCCTTTCCTCCGCACCTCCGACGAGCACGGTTGGCTACGTGCGGCGTGAAAGAAGTTCAACATGCACACAATCTACCACACACTCCACTATTATACACTACACTACTACACAATACACTATTATACACTACACTACTACACAGTGCACTACTACACAATACACTACACTCTACATTACAAGACTACACAATGCGCTCCTACACTGGCGACAGCATTCCCGCTCAGATTTTGTTCCCGCATGCTCGCACGTGTGTGCATGTGTACGTGTGTGTACGTGTGTGTACGTGTGTGTACGTGTGTGTACGTGTGTGTGTACTTGTGTGCGCGTGCGTGTGTGTGTGTGTGGACGTGTGTGCGTGCGTGTACCTTCTTGTGTACGTTATTGCTTGTATGTAAGTGTTTGTGCATGTGTGCGTGCGTACGTGTGTGTGTACGTGTGTGCGTGCGTACATGTGTGCGTGCCTGTGTGTGTGCGTGCGTGCGTGCGCGTGTGTACGTGTGTGCGTGTGTGTGTATGTGCCTCCTGCCCGCGGGCGTTCGACACTTCACGTGGCCTCAAGGTGCACATGGCCTGGCTCAAGCGTCGTGGTGACGTCACCGCCACTTAGTGGCGAATGGCGGTTGTTGTTGTTGTGTATGTGCGTGCATGACTGTGTGCGTGTGTACGTGCGTGCGTGTGTGCGTGTGTACGTGTGTGCGCGTGCGTGTGTACGTGTATGCTTGTATGTAAGTGTGTGTGCGCTCAGAACAACGAGCGGAGCGCCGGGTGGCGAAAGCACAGCAGGTTGGCACAGTAGGGGGCACAGGTAGTGCATCAGCCAGTCATCTCAGTCAGTCGACCCGTGGCACCTGGGTCTGCCCCGTGACCTCCTGCCAGCGGGCGTTCGACACTTCATGTGGCCTCAGGGTGCACATAGCCTGGCACAAGCATCGTGGTGACGTCACCGCCACTTAGTGGCGAATGGCGGTTGTTGTTGTTGTGCGCGTATGTGCGTGCGTGTGTGTGTGTACGTGTGTGCGTGCGTATGTGTCTGCGTGCCTGTGTATGTGCGTGTATAACTGTGTGTGTGTGTGTGTACGTGCGTGCGTACGTACGTGCGTGTGTGCGTACCCACAGGTGTCGTGCGGCAAGTGTGGCAACGGCCTGGGCCACGAGTTCCTGAATGATGGTCCCAGCGCCAGGCAGAGCCGCTTCTGAATATTCAGCCACTCCCTCAAGTTCGTCGCCAACGGTAAATTGGGCTTTAAGAAAAAGAAAAAAACACTCAAAAACGTTTTCTCTATCGGCGAGTAAAGACGGCGTCGCGAGCCGGTACGCTCTGACGAGGAAGACGTCGCGGGCATCTTTGAACGACCACTTGCCGAGCGGAGCGGGTTGGGTGTTAAGTCAATAATAAGTAATGTTGACATTAACTTTTGGAAGAAAAAAAAAAACACCACGCGCTTTAATGAAATGTACGAGTGATGGAAGAACTCCACGACTCCAGGAAGTGGCCCCCCGAAGTTTCCCACAACGTAAGGGCGGACCGTGGGCCGATTACGGCCAACGTCAGTTTAGCGTGGACAGTTAGACCCAAGCCGAAACGTAACGTATAAAAAATAATGTTTACAAATATATATATATTTTTTTTTTAACGATAGAGTATAGCATTGTCATCGGCATGACATAAGCATACCGAGTTTGCAGTCGATACGACATTGGGAAGTGAGTTTTCAAGATTTGAGGATACAGCAACAACAGACGGGAGCGAGTTAAACGAAAGCGTGTAAAAAATACGGTTCGTTTTGCTCCACCGCAGTATTAACCGGGTCGGCCCGCTGGGATCGAACCGCGAGACCCCTATACCAACTGGCGCTGAGCTGCATAGTTCTTTCGGTGAAGTCTCCGTGGTGCTAACGTTTAAAAAAAAAAAAACCCGCCACTTTTTTCAAATTTTCTTTGCTGTGGTTTTCACACCTGACGACGATGATGATGATTGCCGCTCGTGCTGCGGTCGAAACGTCGTTAGAAATTTCATTTGTTTTAGATTTTTCATTATTTTGTTGTTTCCCCTTCCACGTGGCGGCGACTTTACCGAAAGAACCAAGACTGTGAATCCCTGGAGTCGCGAAAGCTTTACACCGAAACGTAAAGCTCTTGTTCAGAAGCGACCTGGCCATCGCAAAGAGACAGCTGTCCAACGACATGGGGGGGCCTGCTCATCACGCGGACGTTCATAGCGGCGGCCAAATAGCTCGGAATGCGCGGCGTCGATTCCAAACGCGGAGCGCAGGGCAAAAATCCGGAGGACCCGGAGAAGAATAATAATAATAATTAAAAAAAAAACCACTCGGCCACGGGGAAAGAAGACACTCCAAATATACGGGCTGAATCAACCGCGGAGATGTTTGTCACCTTCTTTGGTTCTTTCGGTAAAGTCACGTGGAATGAGAATAAAATAATGAATTGATAAAATAAAATAACACAATAAAGTTCTCACGACGTTTCGGCCACAACACAAGCGGCCTTCATCTGATGACTTTACCGAAAGAACCAAAGAAGATGAATCCTTGCAGTCACGAAAGCTTCACCTGATGAAGGCCGCTTGTGTTGTGGCCGAAACGTCGTGAGAATTTCATCGTGTTATTTTATCAATTTATTATTTTATTCTCATTCTACGTGGTGGTGACTTTACCGAAAGAACCAAAGAAGATGAATCCTTGCAGTCACGAAAGCTTTAAATCGAAATGTTTGTCACCATTGTTGGCCGTGAGCGGGAATCGAACTTGGGCCGCACGCACAACTCCCGTCACTGATGCAGAGGGAGAACGCACACGGAAAAGGGCACTCGGGGTGGGGATCGAACCCAGGCCCCCGTTTTGCTGCGAGGCACGAGTGGTACCCACTACCCCCGCCGCTGCCGCCCCTGCCACCCACAACGACAGCACAAATTGGAATACAATTGTGGGGATGGGTGCAAAGGTAACAAAAACATACATATATTCTTGGTTCTTTCGCTAAAGTCACGTCGAAGGGAAACAATAAAATAATAAAAGAACCAAGAATGTGAATCCCTGCAGTCACGAAAGCTTTAAATAAAAATATATAGTTAAAAGTAGACAGTTGAAACGTTTTCTCGGAGTTCCAGTTCTCCTCCCTCCGATGCAAAACTATTTCGGCAACCGCAAATGGTTGCTTTAGGAAGTGGGCTCTGAAAGAGAGAGAGAGAAAACGAAAAAAAAAAACCCTCCCCTTCTCTGTCATCACCGGCAATCACTGCAATAACCCCTCTTCACAGGAGAGAGAGAGAGAGAGATTGACAAAGTGGAAGCTTGTTACCTTCAAGCCACATCGCGAAATCAAGTTTCAAGCCGTGAGTCCCGAATGTGTTTCCAGCCGGAACACTCTTGGTGGTGGTGGTGGTGGGTTGGGGGTGGCGGACCGCTGGGGCTCAACGGTTCATATCTGAAAATGCTAATTGGGCGGCGAGAGGCGGTGTCTGTGAACGGAGGACGTAGCTGGCTTGGAAGGGTGGCGCTGATGGTGGCGCAGTGGCCATGACTTCGCTTGCGTGCCTCGACCTCGTAAGCGAGAGAAGGGCCCTCGGTTCGATTCCCGGTTCGGGTGGTTTTCTGCGTTGTCGAGTTTTTTGTATGTTCTCCCATCCCGCGCCCCCCACCGTTCTGTAGAGTGAGTGGAGTTTGTGTGATCTCCCCCTGTTCTGTAGAGTGAGTGGAGTTTGTGTGATCTCCCCTTGTTCTGAAGAGTGAGTGGAGTTTGTTTGATCTCCCCCTGTTCTGAAGAGTGTGAGTGAGTGGAGTTTGTATGATCTCCCCCTGTTTTACAGAGTGAGTGAGTGGAGTTTGTATGATCTCCCCCTGTTCTGCAGAGTGAGTGGAGTTTGTGTGATCTCCCCATGTTCTGAAGAGTGTGAGTGAGTGGAGTTTGTATGATCTCCCCCTGTTCTGCAGAGTGAGAGTGAGTGGAGTTTGTGTGATCTCCCCCTGTTCTACAGAGTGAGAGTGAGTGGAGTTTGTATGATCTCCCCCTGTTCTGAAGAGTGAGAGTGAGTGGAGTTTGTATGATCTCCCCCTGTTCTGTAGAGTGTGAGTGAGTGGAGTTTGTGTGATCTTCCCCTGTTCTGTAGAGTGAGTGGAGTTTGTGTGATCTCCCCCTGTTCTGTAGAGTGAGTGGAGTTTTTGTGATCTCCCCCTGTTCTGTAGAGTGAGTGGAGTTTGTGTGATCTCCCCCTGTTCTGTAGAGTGAGTGGAGTTTGTGTGATCTCCCTCTGTTCTGTAAGAGTGTGAGTGAGTGAGTGGAGTTTGTGTGATCTCCCCCTGTTCTGTAGAGAGTGAGTGAGTGGAGTTTGTATGATCTCCCCCTGTTATGAAGAGTGAGAGTGAGTGGAGTTTGTATGATCTCCCCCTGTTCTGTAGAGTGAGAGTGAGTGGAGTTTGTATGATCTCCCCCTGTTCTGAAGAGTGTGAGTGAGTGAGTGGAGTTTGTATGATCTCCCCCTTTTCTGTAGAGTGAGAGTGAGTGGAGTTTGTATGATCTCCCCCTGTTCTGTAGAGTGAGTGGAGTTTGTATGATCTCCCCCTGTTCTGAAGAGTGTGAGTGGAGTTTGTATGATCTCCCCCTTTTCTGTAGAGTGAGAGTGAGTGGAGTTTGTGTGATCTCCCCCTGTTCTGCAGAGTGAGAGTGAGTGAGTGGAGTTTGTATGATCTCCCCCTGTTCTGCAGAGTGAGAGTGAGTGAGTGGAGTTTGTATGATCTTCCCCTGTTCTGTAAGAGTGTGAGTGAGTGGAGTTTGTATGATCTCCTCCTGTTCTGAAGAGTGTGAGTGAAGTTTGTATGATCTCCCCCTGTTCTGTAGAGTGAGTGGAGTTTGTGTGATCTCCCCCTGTTCTGAAGAGTGTGAGTGGAGTTTGTATCATCTCCCCCTGTTCTGAAGAGTGTGAGTGAGTGGAGTTTGTATGATCTCCCCCTGTTATGAAGAGTGTGAGTGAGTGAGTGGAGTTTGTATGATCTCCTCCTGTTCTGCAGAGTGAGAGTGAGTGGAGTTTGTATGATCTCCCCCTGTTTTGTAGAGTGAGTGAGTGGAGTTTGTATGATCTCCCCCTGTTTTGTAGAGTGAGAGTGAGTGGAGTTTGTATGATCTCTCTCTGTTCTCCAGAGAGAGTGAGTGAGTGGAGTTTGTATGATCTCCCCCTGTTCTGCAGAGTGAGAGTGAGTGAGTGAAGTTTGTATGTTCTCTCCCTGTTCTGTAAGAGTGTGAGTGAGTGAGTGGAGTTTGTGTGATCTCCCCCTGTTCTGCAGAGTGAGTGAGTGGAGTTTGTGTGATCTCCCCCTGTTCTGAAGAGTGTGAGTGAGTGGAGTTTGTGTGATCTCCCCCTGTTCTGCAGAGTGAGTGAGTGGAGTTTGTATGATCTCCCCCTGTTCTGAAGAGTGTGAGTGAGTGGAGTTTGTGTGATCTCCCCCTGTTCTGCAGAGTGAGTGGAGTTTGTATGATCTCCCCATGTTCTGAAGAGTGTGAGTGGAGTTTGTATGATCTCCCCCTGTCCTACAGAGTGAGTGGAGTTTGTATGATCTCCCCCTGTTCTGCAGAGTGAGAGTGAGTGGAGTTTGTATGATCTCCTCCTGTTCTGCAGAGTGAGAGTGAGTGAGTGGAGTTTGTATGATCTCCCCCTGTTCTGCAGAGTGAGTGAGTGGAGTTTGTCTGATCTCCCCCTGTTCTGTAGCGTGTGAGTGAGTGGAGTTTGTATGATCTCCCCCTGTTCTGCAGAGTGAGAGTGAGTGGAGTTTGTGTGATCTCCCCCTGTTCTGCAGAGTGAGAGTGAGTGGAGTTTGTATGATCTCCCCCTGTTTTGAAGAGTGTGAGTGGAGTTTTTGTGATCTCCCCCTGTTCTGCAGAGAGAGTGAGTGGAGTTTGTGTGATCTCCCCCTGTTCTGTAGAGTGAGAGTGAGTGAGTGAAGTTTGTATGTTCTCTCCCTGTTCTGAAGAGTGAGAGTGAGTGAGTGGAGTTTGTGTGATCTCCCCCTGTTCTGCAGAGTGAGTGAGTGGAGTTTGTGTGATCTCCCCCTGTTCTGAAGAGTGAGTGAGTGGAGTTTGTATGATCTCCCCCTGTTTTGAAGAGTGAGAGTGAGTGAGTGGAGTTTGTATGATCTCCCCCTGTTCTGAAGAGTGTGAGTGAGTGAGTGAGTGGAGTTTGTATGATCTCCCCCTGTTTTGAAGAGTGAGTGGAGTTTTTGTGATCTCCCCCTGTTCTGTAGAGAGTGAGTGGAGTTTGTATGATCTCTCTCTGTTCTGCAGAGAGAGTGAGTGAGTGAGTGGAATTTGTGTGATCTCCCCCACGTTCTAGACCAGCGTAACAGCATTCGTAATATTCAATCAGAGGATCGCGATAACGACCTTTTAAAAACCAATGTAGGACTTAACGTCGCACCGTATCTCGCGATTGCAGACAAAGCTGAAGGGACCCGTGGCAAGTAAGGCGGCGGCGACGGCGGCGACGGCGGCGACGGCGGCGGCGGTACACGATGGCCAGGGAGGTCACCTCGTTCCGCAAGTGCCACCGACGGACGGCTCGCAACAAAGAGGGTGGTGGTGCAACGAGTCTCAATCTTCTCAACCTCGGCGGCGGCAGCGGCAGCAGTAGCGGCAGCGGTAGCAGCAGCAAGAGCGGCAGCAGCAGCGGCAGCAGCAGCAGCAGCAGCGGTAGCAGCAGCAGTAGCAGCAGCAGCAAAAGAACGCCAAGGCTCCCAACGCAGCGAATCCCTGAGCGGCAGGCCCGGGCTGGGGGGTGGACTTCTACGGCACCGTGCGTAGTCGACCGTGATAATCGGACGTGCGTAGCGTGCTCCCCACCAGAGCATTAAACTGCCCCCCCCCCGCCCCCCCCCTCATTTTTTTAATTCTCCCTCTTCCCCCCTTCTCTACAAAGCCGTCGCTAATTTAGATCGGGGGGGGGGGGAGGGGGTTATCGGAGCCGCATGTGGCTCCTTCAGGACTCGCTTCACGGCTCTTGCGAAATGCAGGGCGCTTTCACCTTTTTTGCCGAATTCGGACACGGATTTGCTCCTCTTGTTATTTCGCTTTGCATAACCCCTGGCCACGGGGGTTCCAGTTCACCGTGGGAGTCCAGCTCACCATGGCGAGGAGTTGGCAGCCTCCGGCTCCTACGTCATCTATCAAGGGACCGGCAACGTGTCGTTGGCTTCCCGTTGCGTTGTTGCGGCTCTTGAAAATATTTGCGTTTTTTTTTGTTTTACCGACGCCCTTGGGGTTCACGGCGAGACTTGCAGAGAACTGTTGGGTGGGGCGGGCGGAGGCGGAGTCGGGTCACTCTTCAATTGTGGCCTAGTCTCCCCCCCCCCCCCCCCCCGTTGTTAAAAGGAGAGAAACGTGTGACCCCCCAGCCACCCCCCCCCCCACCTCCGTCTTTAGCACCTCTCCCGTGACTCCCCCCCTCCACCTCTCCACCTCTCTTCTACCTCGGGAGGTTGTGGGCCCGGTGCCAATGGAGGCGACGAGGGCTGGGTTCGATTCCCGACTCGGGGCACCTCTCTCTCTCTCTCTCTCGCTCTCTCTTCCGCGCCCACCCCCCCTTCCCCGTGCCACCTTCCATCCCCGTGGCGCGTGGGGTTTCCGCCTCGCACGGATGAAACCAGTTTAATTAAAAAAAACAAACAACAATCCCCATACATGCGACCGGTATTGATTGACTTATACGTAGCGTTGCTGACAAATGACGTGCTAATTCCTCGTGCTCAATTGGGATTACACGGAGCGACGTCGCCCCCGCCCCCGGGTAAACGAGCGAAACAACAGCGATAAAAAAATATATAATTCCTAATCGGGGCTCTCGCAGTAGCCGCCGCAAGGTCTGCTTCGGGGAGCTTGGAAGGCTTCGTAACCGAAGGAGCGGTGGGTTGGGGGGGGGGCCCGCCGCCGCCCCCGCCCCCGCCGCCGCCGCTCTTCTTCCACGGCCGTGTGGTCACGGCGAGACGTCACTCCGTGATGCGCCCCTTGGGCAAACCCTGACGCCATCAGGGCCCCGCGGGCACGGAGGTCGTGTGACGCTCGCCCGTCGCCATCGCCGCCGTCTCCTCCCGGCTGCCGTTGTCCGTCGTGAAGACGACGACGTGAGACCGCCCCCCCCCCCCCGCCCCCCCCCCCCCCCCCGAAAAAGGAAATGTTTTTTTTATTTTAAATGTATAAAATGGCTCAACGCTTTAGAAACGATGTAGGTCGCCTGTCTGGTGTTTCGGAGGGTCACGGCGCGGGCCCTGGGCATTGCAGGCTTAGCAAAACGAACGCAACGCGCGGGGTCTGGTGCGCGCCAAAGTCGTTCCCGGTACGTGCCCGGGAGTGACCTGACGGGCAAACGGCGATCCGCGCGTAAGGACGCGGCCTTCCCACATTTGACATTTCTGCCGGGCCGCACTTTGAGCGGCCTTTCCTCTGGGGAAAATAAAAAATATAAAAAAAATAAAAAATATAAATATCCCGAGAAGAAACGACAAAGCCAGTGCTGGTTTCCCCTCGCGGTTTGTGCGATTTCGCGCTGCACGTGTGGGCCACCCAAGATTCGCTCTGCTTAAGCGGTTTGAATTCACTCGGCGTGCGGCCGGACGTGGGACGTCATGGTGTATTGCGTGTGCCGGTAGCACGCGCGGATACGCACACACACGCAGATACACACGCACGCAGATACACACGCACGCAGATACACACGCACGCAGATACGCACGCGCGGATACACACGCACGCAGATACACACGCACGCAGATACACACGCACGCGGATACACACGCACGCGGATACACACGCACGCGGATACACACGCACGCGGATACACACGCACGCAGATACACGCAGATACGTGTGTGTGTGTGTGTGTACTGCGCACGCTACTCAGCAAGCAGCGGTCTCACACCATGAATAGATGCCCAGTCACACACACAGGGATACACACACAGAGATACACACACAGAGATACACACACAGAGATACACACACGGAGATACACACACGGAGATACACACACGGAGATACACACACAGATACACACACAGATACAAAGACAAAGATCCCCCATATAGCCTGTAACAGACTGTAGGGGCAAGTGCTGTTAGCGAGCACCTATGAAGGCCGGAACGGTACACGAGGGGGTGGGTGGCCAGCACCACGCCCGACCGTCTTTGTCTCCCTAGTGGCGATGTTTACACACCGCACCAGGTACTCATTTGAGGCTGAGTCGACCTAGGGGAGGCCCGGGACCGGTTCAGATAATCGTCACTGGTGTTGGCCGTGAGCGGGAATCGAACCCGGGTCGCCAGGTTCGTAGCGCAGCGCGCTAACCGCTACACTATCGCTCCCCAGATAGACACAGATACACACAGATACACACAGATGCAGAGATAAGTGTGTGTACTGTGGACGTTACTCTGTAAACAGCGGTCTCACACCATGAATACATACCCAGTTACACACGCAGAGATACACACAGAGATACACACAGATACACACACATGCAGAGATACGTGTGTGTACTGTGCACGCGACTCAGCAGGCAGCTGTCTCACACCAGAGATCCAAACACAAGGTGACAACAACAACAACCGCCATTCGCCACTAAGTGGCGGTTGACGTCACGCTTGTGCCAGGCTAGGTGCACGTTGAGGCCACGTCAAGTGTCGAACGCCCGCTGGCAGGAGGTCACGGGGCAGACCCAGCAGGTGCCACAGGTCGACTGACTGAGACGACACAGACACACACACACGGGGATAGATACTGAGATACACACAGGTACACACAGATACACACAGATACACACAGGTACACACAGATACATACAGATACACACACGGGGATAGATACTGAGATACACACACAGATACACACAGATACATACAGATACACACACGGGGATAGATACTGAGATACACACAGATACACACACGTGGATACACATGGGGATAGATACTGAGATACACACAGATACACACAGATACAGACAGATACACACAGATACACACAGATACACACAGATACACACACAGATACACACAGGTACACACAGATACACACAGATACACAGATACACACAGATACACAGATACACACAGATACACACAGATACACACACAGATACACACAGGTACACACAGATATACACAGATACACACAGATACACAGATATACACAGATACACACACGGGGATGCATACAGAGATGCACACTGATACAGCGGTGTCTTCTTGGTTCTTTCGGTAAAGTCACGTAGAAGGGAAATAATAAATAATAATAAAACATAATAAAATAAAAATTATCACGACGTTTCTGCCGCAACGCATGCAGCCGTCCTCAGGTGAAGAACAGAGCTGTCGAAAAGACAGCGTCCTATTATTATTTTATTATTATTTCCCTTCTACGTGACTTTATCGAAAGAACCAAGACTATGAATCCCTGCAGTCACGAAAGCTGTAAATCGAAATGTAGGTACAGCAGTGTGTATGTATGTATACTGCGTGCACGTACTGTGGGCTACTCGCTGTGCGGTCCATGATGCATTGCGGTTTTGCTTTTCGCACCACTACTACAACCGCGTAGGGCGAGGGAAAACTACCGTATTAACGCTGCCACGCTGAAATGCAATAACAGGTAGTTGGTAGTTCTCAATTACCGGGGGGTGACGGGAACACAGGTGCCTCCCGGTAAAAAAAAATGGGTACACAATTGTGATTTTTAGGAAATGGAAAATGTCGTCCGTCTACGAGGAATTTGCAAGGGCGAGGAATGTTCACGTTCGCTTCTTGACGTGACGGGGTCGACCCGCCGACGCGCCTGCGGTCACCCGGACCGCCGACCCGTCGGCCTAGCGGCTCATGATGACACCAGCACACATGGCGGAGGGGGGGGGGAGGAAGGACGTTGTGTCGTGAAGGTTTTACTTTCGTCGCAAGTGTTATGATTCGTAATTGTTATTCGACGTGCCGGCTGGTGAGCTGAAACGATAGTACAGGGGCACCTCTGCTCACGAACATTCGGCTTGCGAACTTTCAGAGATAAGAACAAACCCGGTCCGTGTGTCCAGTTGCCTGTTCCGACCGAGGGTCGTAAGTTCAACCGCCGCGCTACAGAGGACGGTGGTGGCATCTGCATCTGCAGAACGTGAAGAACCAGCGGCATCCACATCTGCAGAACGTGGAGAACCAGTGGCATCTACAGAGCGTGAAGAACCAGTGGCATCTACATCTGTAGAACGTGAAGAACCAGTGGCATCTACATCTGTAGAACGTGAAGAACCAGTGGCATCCACATCTGTAGAACGTGAAGAACCAGTGGCATCAACAGTGAGGGAAAAAGTATTTGATCCGTTTGCCCACTGACAAAGAAATGATCAGTCTATAATTTTAATAGTAGGTTTATTTGAACAGTGAGAGACAGAATAACAACAACGAAATCCAGAAAAACGCACGTCAAAAATGTTATAAATTGATTTGCATTTTAATGAGGGAAATAAGTATTTGACCCCTCTGCAAAACATGACTTAGTACTTGGTGGCAAAACCCTTGTTGGCAATCACAGAGGTCAGACGTTTCTTGTAGTTGGCCACCAGGTTCGCACACATCTCAGGAGGGATTTTGTCCCACTCCTCTTTGCAGATCTTCTCCAAGTCATTAAGGTTTCGAGGCTGATGTTTGGCAACTCGAACCTTCAGCTCCCTCCACAGATTTTCTATGGGATTAAGGTCTGGAGACTGGCTAGGCCACTCCAGGACTTTAATGTGCTTCTTCTTAAGCCACTACTTTGTTGCCTTGGCCGTGTGTTTAGGGTCATTGCCATGCTGGAATATCCATCCACGACCCATTTTCAATGCCCTGGCTGAGGGAAGGAGGTTCTCACCCAAGATTTGACGGTATATGGCCCCGTCCATCGTCCCTTTGATGCGGTGAAGTTGTCTTGTCCCCTTACGAGAAAAACACCCCCAAAGCATGTTTGCACCTCCATGTTTGACAGTGGGGATGGTGTTCTTGGGGTCATAGGCAGTATTCCTCCTCCAAACACGGCGAGTTGAGTTGATGCCAAAGAGCTCCATTTTGGTCTCATCTGACCACAACACTTTCACCCAGTTGTCCTCTGAATCATTCAGATGTTAATTAGCATACTTCAGACGGGCATGTATATGTGCTTTCTTGAGCAGGGGGACCTTGCGGGCGCTGCAGGATTTCAGTCCTTCACGGCGTAGTGTGTTACCAATTGTTTTCTTGGTGACTATGGTCCCAGCTGCCTTGAGATCATTGACAAGATCCTCCCGTGTAGTTCTGGGCTGATTCCTCACCGTTCTCATGATCATTGCAACTCCACGAGGTGAGATCTTGCATGGAGCCCCAGGCCGAGGGAATGGTCTAGTAGCCCATTCCAGCCTTGTGTAGGTCTACAATCTTGTATCTGATATCCTTGGAGAGCTCTTTGGTCTTGGCCATGGTGGAGAGTTTGGAATCTGATTGATTGCTTCTGTGGACAGGTGTCTTTCATACAGGTAACAAGCTGAGATTTATAACATTTGTGACATGCGTTTTTCTGGATTTTTTTTGTTATTCTGACTCTCGCTGTTCAAATAAGTCTTCCATTAAAATTATAGACTGATCATTTGTCAGTGGGCAAACGTACAAAATCAGCAGGGGATCAAATTATTTTTTCCCTCACTGTACATCTGCAGAACGTGAAGAACCAGTGGCATCTACATCTGCAGAACGTGAAGAACCAGTGGCATCTACATCTGCAGGAGATTATACAACTTTTAAAGCCATTCCCCGTGTTTAGTGTACACGCCGTACGACACGTTTGGAATCGACAGGCTTAAAGTTGAACAAATCGACTTACGAACAGACCTCTGGAACCTGACTCGTTCGTAAGTAGAGGAGTCCCTGTAATTATAATCGCGGTGTTTTGCCGCGTCATTGAAACGCCCCGTACACCACTTGACAATGCGATTTGTCTGGCTGCGTCGTGTGGTGGCGGTGGAGGGGGTTGTGATGACACAAATCTGGCCAGATCCGTACGTGGGCCGACCCCGAAAAATGAATTGCGAATCGTAAACATGTTTCTTTATTCGTATAATTTTTTTTTCGCAAGCACGGTTAACCGTGACAATCCAACCACGCATAGTCGAGAATTCACCCTGTAGTAATAGTAATAATAATCTCAAAAAATCCTTCACCGAGTTATTGGGAACAGGTTGGGGCATTATTTATTATAACGTCGTGAACGTAAACGTAGAAATAGTTAATGTTAAACCCTAAACGGACTGTATGCGTGTTGGTTGTACACCATTGGCCTTAAACGTCCAATGCTCAGGTGGTTTAAACGTAATTGGCAC